GTTGAGTATAACCATAGTTGAAGGGAAGACGTCGACTTCAATTATGCTTGATTAGCGAATTGCAAAAACAAGTATATAGATGTAAGAAAGTTGAATTATGAGAGGAAAAGTAGTTTTTTCAGAACCCCAATTTGTCGGCTCATTTGATGTTGGAGAGCATGTGTACTTCTTCTTCCGCGAAATTGCCATAGAAAGTGGTGGGTTGGAACGAAATGTCTACAGTCGAGTGGCTAGGGTCTGTAAGGTAAGAATCCTCAATTTAATCCTTGTTACGTCCTAATCCTATCCTTACTACGTGAGAAGAGCAAATTTTAGAAAGACATCGGTGGACGAGTTGTCTTGCGCCAGGTGTGGACATCTTTCTTAAAAGCTCGTCTGAATTGCTCAATATCAGCTCAGTATCCATACTACTTTGACAGGATCCGTGAGTTTATCTCAAAGATTTTTATGCATTGGGCGGGGCGTACACCTCTAGATGTAACAGCCCCGCCCCTTTCCCACAGCTTTTCACATGAAGTGAAATTCCAGAAGCCGTGACTAGAGTTGAAACATCCGATGACACCCTTTTCTATGCGACGATGAGTACTTCAGAAACAGCATTTGTAACTTCAGCTGTTTGTGTGTTCTCATTCAAACATATCAACCAGGTGGGCGGATTTGTCCCAATTTTTGTCAAACGCATTTTTTTCCCGCTCAAATTTGTGTTTTAGCTCTTCCATCATGGTTTCTTCCTTGATCCTACTAGTCCTACATGGTTGCCACTGCCTGCCGATGCAGTTCCTGAACACAGGCCTGGAACGGTAATTATTCCTACAACTTTACAAATGACAAAGATTATACTCTCATTCTAGTGCGTCCCAAATTCACATACACTTTCCGATTCCGACCTGCATTTTGCAAAATCGCATTTAATGATGGCTGAGCCAGTGTCAGGTTGGTGGTATTTCTGGTAGTCCGAGAAAAAATCAATAATATGCAGTTCCTCTACGTCTCTTACCTAATCGATATTTTTAGGAGGTGTGCCAATTTTACCTACACGTGACGTGATATTCACTCACATTGCTGTTGACGTAAGGAGTGAACAAAACGTGATTTTTGCTCTAGATGGGAGGTAGGAATAGAGCGCAGACAAGCAGAGTGATGGACTCCGCGTCTTTAGTACCACAGTCGCCATACCGTAGGCTTTTCTTTCCAGGACCAGTACATTGTGGAAAGTTTCACACTGGCGTGAAGGAAATTCCTGGAAATGGACAGAACTCGAAAAAAGAAATCTAATCGCTGGAGGACCAATCAAAGCGATGGCCCTGTTACCTGGAGGTTTGGGACAGTCCCAATACCGCCAAAATCTCTGAATTTCTGTTCAGAATTCCTCTACTTTGCCTCACGTTCGGCTGTAAGTCAGTTTACCCTAGCCGGTTGCTCAAATTACCCATCATGTGCCCTATGCGCCATAGATCCATACTGTAGCTGGAATGTGGCCAGATCAACCTGTTACCCTCGGGAAAAAGCCCATGGGCAAAGTCTAGGGTAAAGATCCATTCTATACACAGAAAATGACAGTTATTCAATAAAAAATGAGGTTTAGGTGGATCTCGTCCTGGGCTGGGCGGGGCTCATCCGAATGCTCAGCTTCGGCCAAACCGCGTACCCAGTCGGCATACCCAGGAGATACCGTACACTTCCAGGGAACACCCACAGGTGTCTGGAGACGAGATGGGAATGAGTAAGAGATTTTCTCACTATCTTTCCTGCACAGTGGAAAGCCACGCCCCTTATACAAGCCACGCCTCTCACATAAGCCAGCTCTTTTCCAGAATCTTCCCGAACAATCGCATTCTGTTTACCAACGATGGTGGATTGATCCTAATGAATGTTTCAAAAGAAGATAATGCTGACTACGAATGTACTGCAAATGGAAAACAACTCGTAAAATATCGATTAGTTGTGGATCATGGTAAGTACCATACTTGACGAAAAAAATTTATGTAAAAAAATGATAAAAATTGCAGAAGAATGCACACAGCCCCGATCCGTGCAGGCATACAAGTCTTGCCAACGTGAGTGGTGCAAAAAGGCCGATCAATACAAAGCTGCCCTAGCGGATTGGCATGATGCCAAAAAAAGAAATGTGTGTTTGATTTTTTCTCTTTCTTCGTAATTATAAAATTTTGCATTGCTGCATGCACAAAATCCAAAAAAATTGTGGTTTTTCCGTCGTTTTTCTCAATGTTTGCTGGGCGGAGCTTGAACCGCGCTGC